TTTTTTATAATTTTATATATTGTTAGTTGATAAATAAGTTTAAAAAAAAATTGCATCAAGTATTAAAATAAGTGATTAACATTTTATGTAGTATAATATTATGCATGCAATTTAAAGCCTGTAACATTTTATAGAACTATTCACATTTCCGACTTGAGGATCATTTAAATTTAAATTAGATTGTAAGATGTAGTTGCTGTATTGTGTACAATTTATACATTTTAAAATAAATAACTCAAACATTAATATAAAAAATAGTAAAAAAAAGGTGGGCAAGTGGGTGTCGCTCTGCTGTACAGTAGGTTACAAGTGGGTCACTGTATAATGGATGGTATTAAATTTGAATTCAATGATATAATATCATTGTATAAGAAAAACGATTCTGAGCGGTGACGGTATGTCAGTCTATGTATAAGACATATTATATACATATCTATGGTATTAAACAAAAAATTGACCTATAATAGGTACCTACCTATAATAAATTCCAAATTAATCATATCACAATATCAATTAGATACTTATAACACGTTATACATCAACAAAAACCGTGATACTATCATAGATATATAATAGTACACTTTAGAAGTTTCAAGTACCCACGAATAATATTATTCAATCACAACAAAATAACTAAAATAGTTATTCTAGGTTTTTTAATATGTAATTTCGTCCAAATTTGAATTTAAAATGTCTGTAAAAAATAAGTGTGTTCATATATTTTTTAGATTTTTTGGTTACAGTATGAACTATTTACGAGAACCTTTGTGTTGAATTTGCAATCCTTAGCTATAAAAACTGAACATTTTATAATTTATTAATTACAATGATTGATAATTTTCGAGATTTTGATAAATTTTGTCAAAATTTGATCTTTAAATGCTTATAAAAAAAAACTGTGCCTATGTATTTTTAATATTTTTCAACTGCTATTGTAACAATATATCAGGAGCCTTGTATTAAATTTTTACACTTTTTGGCCCAACAGATAAAACTTTATTGATATTTATAGAAAAAAAAACTAAAAAAAATTGAAAGCTGTAAATGTCCATAAACATCTCAAAAAGAGTCAAAATATTTTCAAAATTGTATGGTGTATAGAAAATGCTAATTTAAACATTGAGTGAAATTTTCATGTATCTACAGTTGTTCGTTTTTGAATTGCAACAAAATAAGGAAATCGCTACATGAGTAATCGAGTGAATATCCAATGTTGTAAAAATTTGAATTTCAAACGCTCATAAAAATTTAACTTGACTGTCCGGTAGAGATTTTTTTATTGATAAAGGTAGATAATCTTATAAGGAATCTTGTGTTTCATTTTCAAATCTTAGATTTAAAAAGAAAAATTTTTACGAATTCTTAACTCAAAATAATTTGCTAATTTTCGTGATTTTTCCATATTTTGTAAATTTTTGAACTTTAAATGCTTATAAAAAAAAATTGTGATTAAGGATTTTTAATATTTTTCATCTGCCTTTAAAACAACATATTAGGAGCCTTCTATTAAATTGTCAAGCTATCGCAACCAACAAATAAAATTTTATTGATATTTCTAGAAAAAAAACTAAAAAAAAATGAAAAATGAAAATGTCCCTAAACAGTTCAAAATAAATCAAAATATTTTGAAAATGTTATCGTGTATAGAAAATGCAAATATAAACAACCAGTGAAAATTTCATGTATCTACGGTCATTTGTTTTAAAGTTACACCAAAAACCAAATTCGATTTTTTGGAAAATCGATTTTGCGTAAAAATTCCCGTTTTTCCTTAATTTTTATGTTGTTTTTTCCCGGCGCTTGTGAAAACTACTGGAAAATGTTTACTTTTGACCCCCCAAAGTACCAACTAGATTCACTTTCCTATCAGAAAAGGTACTATTGAAGAAAATCGAAGCACTTTTACTGTCCCAAAACGTGATGACAGACACAAAAATATAAAAATATAAAAATATAAAAATATAAAAACACACATCATTGTAAAACCAATTCATTCATCGCTCCGCTCAGAATCTAAAATAAAGAATAAACTACAAGGTATATTATTTACAACTTATAAACAAATATATATTGTTCATGATGAAATTAATATCTCTTCCTAAATTAATACAATCATATTATATATAATAATATATATATTATATATATATTTAATTTATTTACATATAGTATCCAGAGTAAATTATGAAACAAACAACTACTAAGTTATTTAAAATAACTATGGAATAGGCAATAGCCAATACGTAGACTAACCAATCACAACAAGTACTAAGTAGTGAATACTAAATAATGGTACAGCAGTGTAATGGGTGGGTAATGAATAAACTGTAAAAATGTAGAATAATATAAATTATAATAGGTACGAATATAATATAATTTATACAATATATTTATCATAAATGTACATCTCTATGATATATATAAATTAATATATATTATATATTATAGCAACAGTCTAAGATGATCGTAATAATAACCACATTAAGTATTATGAATATAATTTGTGGCAACTTTGCTATTAATAATGTCTTTATAATTATAAAGAATTATTTATAAAATTATATTATAATTTACTCTATATTATTAGTAATTAATAATATGATGAATACGTTTTTATCTATAAATATAAATAAAAATATTTTACAATACAAAACATCTAAAAATATATATATATTTTTGCTATATCCTTAGAACATGGAGTTATAATGGTATTAAACAAAAGTTATTCTGAATAATATGAAAATTCCAAATTAACTTAGCTTATAGTTGGTAATTAACCGAACATTTAACTCTTAAACTCGTTTATGTCTAACTTTTGTTGTTATATTGCTTATTAATTAAAAATTAATAGTATCCCTTATCTCTTAATACACACTATTTAGGCATTCCATAAGTTATAATGATGCTCGATGCTCAAATACATGTACTGACAAAGTTTAATTTTAATATAAAAAGGCAGTTCACACATATTAACATTAACATGTTGACACAGCACTTTATTTGGTGCGTTATTGTAATGCCACGGAAAAGTGAATAATATAAAACTATATTCATTTACAGCCACCGGCGGTGGCAAAAGCATAACAATTGAAATTTACAAATGACCGCCGGTGGCGGCAGTCAACGTGTTAAGTGTATTTCTGGATTGAACCACATCAATATTATCAAATATACTTTTAAACTTAAAAACATAACAAATACCATAAACTGTATGCATTAAAGTTATAACAATTAAAACATTTATAACGTTTATGAAAATGCACTATAATTTCTTTTGAAAGTAGAAATTAATAAATTAAAATACAACATAAGATTATTGTACAAAATATATTTAAATATTCATGTTATTGTTCATTAAAATATAACCATAAGTAAATTTTATAAAAAAAAAAAATATAATATTTTTGATTATGCAATATTTTCAAATTCCTGCTATTTATTTTAATAATGCTAAAAAAAACAAAATTTGTGATCATGATAGTTAGGTCAAGTAATAACTTTATCTCAATTCACATCTGTTTTCATGAACATATTTCAGATACCTAATATATAATTGTTCTTAATTTGTGACACTTTTGATGTATGTAACTATAAGGTCAGTCGTTTTTACATGCACACTTCAAACAATCTAAATGCAACAGCGTTGGCACACATACTTTTATCCCATAGCTATAATTGCATCCATCGGATGAAAACATATGTGCCAACGCTGTGGCTATTTACACTTAGAGTGTTTGAGGTATGCACATAAAAACGCATGTCCTTGTAGTAGAATTGCTACAATATCACAGTATCAGGATATTAATGAAATTCCCTGAAATATCCTCATGAATATAGATGAGTTTAGGATTTAACTATCATAACCATAGTAGAATGTGAGTGAATGAAGTGAGTGCACGAGTAAGACGTCATCTTGATTTGTGAGTGAGTGTTGATTTTTGAATTTTTTTTAAACGACGCATTATCAGCCATCTTGAACTGGACCATGTGGATATTGTGTCCTGTTACGTTGCATACACATCAACTCTGTATACAAATAATAAATACATTATTTGGGATACAATATTAAATATATTGATGTAATATTAATAGGACAAAGCGGTATGTATTGTCCATAATGACATGCATGTACAAGGGGGAATGTGGGGGTCAGCCATTGGCCTTTTTAAACATTTTATAAAATAATGTTTTTATAGTGTAAAGGCGTTATTACAAAGGCTATGAGTAAATTTTTATTTTGCCACATCCAACACAGACAGACAGACAGATGGTAGGTACACTATTATATATGCTAATGACTAATCATTAATCAACTGTCTTACATTAAATTCATAAATATAATTATTATAAGAATACAATTTGACAGACAGAAGGTCGCCGATAGCAACATTGGGTACTTTTCTGTTATCCCTACTACCGCTCGATGCCGCGACTACCGCGACTCTCAATTCTGTTATCTCGACTACCACGCCGGTGCCGCGATTACCGGACTACAGTTCACTCGATTACCTGTTGCCGCGATCACCTGTTGCCGTCGTTGCCGACAGTTGTATTATTTTAAAATATTCCGTCGTTGTATTTATCAATTTTAAAATAATTATGAATCTGTAGAATTTACCAAACAGCGAAAAAGATGCTCTCGATTTTTTTCAAGAAAAGGGTTCACTTCCAACACACCGTGATTGCAAAAACGGTCATAAAAAAAAACTGTACATTGGAGAAAATATTTTGGAAATGCAACGTCAAGGCGTGTCAGCATAAAACCAATATGCGTATGGGTAATTGGTTTGAAAATAGTCGTCCACCTGTTTTAACCATACTCCAGTTTATATATTGTTGGAGTGCAGAATTAACATCCGTTAATTTTTTTGAAAGACATTTGGAAATGAATCATTGTACGGTAGTTGATTGGAATAATTACATGCGTGAGGTGTGCACATAGTCGAAATCAACAAACACAAATCGGAGGACCATGAAAAATTGTTGACATCGACGAAAGTATGTTTTCAAAAAGAAAGAATAATGCTGGAAGGATATTACCACAACAGTGGATATTTGGGGGAATTTTAACCAAGGAGACATTTCTTATCCAAGTTCCTAATCGCACCAAGGAAGCGCTTTCAACTGCGATAAAACAATATATAAAGGTAGGTACAACCATATATTCTGACTGTTGGTGTGGATATGATACAGACGAACTAACCATGCGTGCCGGATACACGCATGTTACAGTCAATCATACTAATAACTTTGTTGACCCAGTTAGTGGGGTCCATACTCAGCATATTGAACGTGTTTGGGAGGCTCCGCTAAATGGAGAAATAAAAAGCATAGAGGAACCAGACGCCATCATTTGGAGTCTTATCTGGCGGAGTTTATCTGGAGACAAAACATTGAAGGAGAACCATTCGATAACATATTGAAAAATATTACAGAAAATTGGTCACCAAAAATAGAATTTTAGACTTATGCAACTGTAACTGTGATAATTTATTTATATTTATTTAATATCGTATTTTGACGTTTTTATATTATAATAACTTTTAGACTGCTAAACTTTCCACTGCTTTGATAATTTTAGAACTAGTAGTTTGATGTTATACTAATACAAGGTTTATAGATTAAAATACGGAACTATCTGGATTCTGGATAGTACTATAGTAGTCGAGATAACAGAATTGAGAGTCGCGGTAGTAGGGATAACAGAAAAGTACCCAACATTGCAAAGATATCGCCCACAAATTCAATTATGCAAAAATTGGTTTTAAGCTACCCCCCCCCTACCCCAATATAAAAATTATGTATTTAACACTGTGACACGCTATGACAGTCAACGGGACTTATACTTACTATTGATTTTCAACGGCGTTTCAATTCCACTGATGAAAAATATGCATTGACGTCTGGCCCAAGGTAGTCGAAGCGCAATAGTTTACTGTATTACAACTATCCTGATTGGAATCGTCGACACTGAGAATCCTCATGATAGGATAATGTAATCTACCTACGTGTCTGAAGAGCGTGTAAGAGCCAATATTGGCCGACGGTTCAGTTAATCGGCCGAACGACATCGTACTCGGACGCTCGGTTGAGTGAGTCGTAACGAGAGTGTGAGTGCGGATCGGAGGAAGCGGAACACGTAGGCGGTCGCACGTACAAACTTTATAGGTCCGTTCCGTCGCAGGTGAGGCCGATTAGTAAAGAGTATTGTGCATAAACAATATTAATAATCACGATGTAGAGAAGACAATATCTTCCCTACATCGTGAATAGTAGTGGAGCACTGGAGCCGGAGTACACAACTACATACATAAAATATAATGGAAGAATGGATCGGCCATGCTTAGAAAAATATTATGTTGATAAAAGGCAATAGATAGATAATAATTTAATGCTATCAGTTTATCACAGAACAAAACATAGATAATATAGATATGATCTATGAACAAGACAAATGATGTTATAAAATTTATAATTTACATCATTTTAAAATTTAATTTTAATTTGTATATTTGAACAAAACCCACAGATATATAAAGTAACTTTATATATCTGTGACAAAACCTAACAAAATCGCCACTTGAGTGAGAAACTGCCTTCTCTCTCATACTTAAAAGACCCCGACCACGACTTGCGTTGTATGATTTAACATGGCCTATCCATTCTTCTATTATCTATGGTTTCATGGCTTTGAAATTGTTCGTAACTTCTTATCTTACCGCCAAGCTTACAACATCATTCTTGTTGATAATTGTGCGATAAGAGTATTAAAAATTATAAATTATAATAATATAAATTTGGCGCACGGACTTAGTTTTGAAGTTATGGCCTACTGAAGTTCACTATTTCGCGATTTAATGTTAATATTAATGTGAAAATGGTATTATAAAAGTGTTAAATTAAATTAAATTAAATTCAAAAAATAAAGTATTGTGAAAATATTTACGTAGGTAAATATCTTTTTGCGGGCAACGGCATTGACATTGACATATTCATATTAATCATATTCATATTATATTCATGATATCATGTTATATTACATGACAGTTAATTAAATAAAACTATTAGTAAATAGACCATATTATTCACGAACCGTAAACCAAATGACTTTCTAATATTCGGAGACTAGAAGCACACATTCGCAGCAACAACAACTTTCTAATGATCTTACCAAAAGACACCTGCAAAATCTACGTGCTGACCATACCAAAGTAGCTGACATCGTATATAGGAGGGACGGGAACACTGCATAATATTCAGATGTACCATGGCCGCCAAGACCATAACTACTCCACTCCACACTCAACCACATACTCTTTCATACGATTACTACATGAAATATATTACTAGAATAAACAACTATTTCATTTTTACTATTCTAATTGACTACAAACTTATTTCAAATCATCATCTTTTGGATTCCTGACGGGGCTGTAAGTAACAATCTGATGAAATTAATTATAACTACTAGAAAATGTGTTATATTTTATAATATTTGAAAGTATTAGAAAATATAGCTAGTGTTGGCTACCTGCAATATAGTTGTACCTAATATTCAGTGGCTAGTCTTAGCTTAGGTGTATTAATACACCTTCGTTTTGACCATTAAATGGCTGACTTGGCAACACTCGACTGTCGTGTAATAAACTAGCTGAACTAACAATAATACGATATAATAATATAAACATTATACGTCAAAAAAACATTTTTACATCATACACGCTAAGTCCTAATTTATTTTGTGCCCTGTACACCACAAGAACTAATATTCATCATTCATGTTGCACTAAAATCACAAATGTTGACTGGTCTACAATTTACTATACACGTCACATCACGTACACTACATATTGTGATGTTTCACTTGTGTGTAGGTACTAACAGTAACAGTAATTATAAATAATAATAAAGTTATAATACTAACATAAGAGAGCACCATAAAGTTAAGTACTGTCGTATACGTCGATTACAGACATACACAAATAGACAAACAAATAATAATATAAGCACTTTATTATACTCGGATGCTCAGTGGTAATCGAGTCACACGATCACCACGCTTTGACCCCTTTTCTGTTCTTACATGTTCCTTATATCCAGGACTCGGGACTTATAGCACTTAAAATCATTAAAATAAGCACTTAAAAAACTTAAATTTAAGCAAAAATATTTCATCAAAAAAAAAAATTTCTTTTTACATAATAAAGTAGGTAATATAGACATAATTTGTATAACTGTGTTAAAAATAATGATTAGGAAAAGTTTCTAACAAAAAATAAAAATAAATAAATAAATCTTTATATTATTAAAAAAATCAAACTTCACTTTCGAGACAATTCAAATTATTATTTATAGATTTTCTGAGGGATTTTCTGAAAATTAAAATGTAAACAATATTTACAATTAGTTGAAAAAAAAAAATAATTAATTAAACCTTACCATCATTATTGCATTAAATGATTTAATTTTAATTCTATCAAAAACAACTTTGCAGTATAAAACCATAAAAAAAGTAGAAAAACTGGTCAAAAAATCAAAACTAATTAGAAAAACTGAAAATAAGCATTTTTTGGAAAATCTATGAAAAAAGCAAAAAAAAGCACTTTAAAATTTTATAACTGAACGTCTCGTAACACAACATACTCTTCCATAGCACTCTGCTATATTTTAAGCCAATCCATAAAAATAAGCAAATGCTTTAAGTCCCGAGCCCTGCTTATATCTTAAGCTTAAGATCGAATAACTATCGAATAAAATCGATTGTACTATGATTAAATTATACTTAATTGTTATTTTATTACATTATTGCTGTCATAACCTAGGTACATGTAATATGCTTAATGTTTATAAAATATTTGCATTGTAGTACATTTTACTATTGCTACCTATGCCTAATTGTTTTCTTAACCTAGTTTACGTACTAACTTATTACTACATCGTTATACTAAATGATTAATACAACAGTACCGTCGCGCCGCAGGAATTGTACACATTTATTACATTAAGGGTTATGAATACCATGGAAAAATGGTATGAAAATTGATTTTTGTATTTCGAATAATATGGTTTATTGAGAGGTTTGAGAGTAAAAACGCCTATCATGAATATTGTAGAAGAGAAGTTAATCTGTGCCTGTATAGAAGTCAATTTTTGATATTTGTAATTACTAAACTCAATACCTAATTCAAATTCAAAAAGTGAAATATCACTAGTTTTAGAGCTAAATATTGGACATTGAAAACAAAATATCAAAAATCAACTTCCATACAAGCCTAGATAAACTTCTTCCCCTTGATTTGTATAATAGGTGTTATGTAATGTCACTCAGTAAGCTACATTATTGGAAATACAAAACTAAGTTTCAGTGTTTCACTAAAATTCACATTTGTAATTGGTCTGTATAAAGCTGAGTTACTGATGTGTGCGAGCACGTGCGGATGCGCTTTGCTATTTATTTTATACACAGTCACTCATACTAATGATCACTTACTACGCACACATTTAAGCATACACACTTACGACATAACAAATTTTCGTTTACTAGTTTCAATAGTATGTTGTTATTTTTGATATTAAAGTGAATTGACCTATTATAACAGGGGTGGCCAACATGACTATGTACGTGAGCCACATGTATTAATAAAATTTTATCAAGAGCCAAATTATCTAATGTGTACTTCTATACCACAAAAGTAATAAAGATATATTGGAATTTTGGAAGCATATTTCTATATTAAAATACCCAAATATTAAAAACTGTGCGATAAAATTGATATCAATTTTTGGAACGACGTATTCATGTGAATCACTTTATTCAACAATGAAAATAATTAAGTCAAAATATCGTTCAAATTTGACTGATGATCATTTTAGAGAATTACTAAGAATTGCTCTTACATCAATTCAACCAGATCTTAAGAAGCTTACTAAAAAAGTAGACACGAAAAAAGTACCACGCAAACAAAATTAGATTAATGTTTAATTTTTTAATTTATTATTCATATTAATTTTTTTTTTGTTTGATTTAATCTATATTCTATACACTATAATACTATAGCCTTAAATAAATACAATAAAAACATTTTTTTTATAAATGTATACAAAAAAAATTAAAATATTTTGGTTTTTGTAAATAAGACCGCGAGCCGCATACGACTGTGACGAGAGCCGCATGCGGCTCGCGAGCCGTGATTTGGCCACCCCTGTATTATAACATTATCCGTGCTTAAGCGTTGGCTTTTATTTGATATTTCGAGCATTTTTAATATTTCACATACACATATATCTTACTTGAAAATGAAAATATTGAAAAATCGCCGAGGCTTAAGCACAGATAATATTCTTAACTAAAAGTATGATAATAGATCAATTCACTCTAATATTAAAACTAACAACACACTATTGAAACTAGTGAACGGAAATT